CGGACTGTGTAACATTTGCTTAAAGAGTTCCATCATGGAAGAAATAATGATGACGTATGAATTATTCTATAATGACGAAGAGTTGAGCTCCCCGATTTTCTCGGATGTTCAGTTAGATACATACGTCGCTGTACTAAACCAGAGTGGTAAAGTGGCTTTCATCATTCGATGTCCTAGTCCTTGGGTTTATAAAATTGACGTTAAGGGGATTTTGAAAGGGGATGCAATGTCCTGGTTATGTTCATTCAAACTCATATGCAAAAATGCCAGGATGGACATTAAACCCTTTCCATGTAACCCGGATGTGGGGTTTGGTCCTTTCAAAACTGAACTCGCAGGACTGAAGGCCGAAACACACCATGAAAGTGTTATAAGCTTTCATCGCAAACGGGAAACGGAAATAAAGTTTATAATGACAGTATTTATTCACTGAAATCAAATGGGTTATTGATGGAGCATTAGTTCTAACTGTCTAAGGAGATTACATAATTGTATGTTTTATTTCTCTCTCTCTATGTGTCGGTTACAAATTCAATTAAACTTATCACGTATTTTCATGTACATGTATCATGACAGACTGTGTCAGAGAAAAAAGCGAGCTCGAGTGCTGAACTATCGGGGTCGCTTCGGTCAAAAGATCCGGTAGTTATCAAACGTGCTATAGACCAATTTGCCAAATTTGATCTCGACGATAAAGGGGAATTGAAGAAAGCCCAGGACAAGATTGAATATTTCAAGCTATCAAAAAGGTTTGTTGATTAAATATAGACTATAGTCACGGAATACTACTAAAACATTCGTTGCTTCCGCCCATTTTTCAATGCATGTTAAAAATATATGTTTTTTTATGTAGGTGCTTGTCTAAACCAATGCCATTTGTAAGTTTATCACCACTTGCAACATTACCATAAATAGTCTAAATCTTAAAGTAAAATAAGCAACAAAATGAACAAACAAAAGTAAGCTCTCGTTTCTTAAAAAGATACACGTATCTACTATACAAATTTCTGTCTATTGACAAATTTATGTCATAATTTAATTTAAAAGGAAAAAACTAATACACATATTTATATAATCTATACAACATATAAAACAAAAAAAAAAAAAACATATTTAGGCAACATAAAATTTTGAGATATAAGAATTTGTCTCTCAATATAATACTTTTTTATTAACAGGATTAAGAGACAGTGTTTACAGAAGGAATGTTGAAGCTCTGGAAGAAAACCTTCATCAGACAAAATCTTCAAAATTTTAACACAAACTACAGTTTCTCATCCAGAAAGCAGAAGATGTGTTGGCGGATCTACAGAAGACGAAGAGGTACGCCCACGAGATTCTGGAAATGAACCTGGTAACCGTTACAGAACTACTTAATTACCAGACTACGAAGCTTATAGTTCACGATGTGATGAAAGCCGTGTAAACACTACTAGGAGAACGTCAAGAAATGCTGGAGGTATCAATTGATTGTTTATTACAGGAAGGGTTGGTTGGTAGAGGAAGTTGAGTGTAATGAAAAAGGGAGTGTGTGGTAGGTAGAAAAGAGTTGAGTGTTATGAAACGGAAGTTGAGGAATCGATTATTGCGAAAAAGGGATTGGTTACATGGGCAGGGAGATTTGATTGTTATAAAAAAGGGGTGTGTGTGTGGGTGAATAAAGTAAATTATTATAAAATAGGGTGTGGATATAATGAATTGATTGTTATGAAACGGCACTGGGAAGGGAAATTTTATCTTTTGAATTAATAAAAGGGATGTTTCCGTACTTTTTACAACATCTTTAATAAAATATAATTGTCAAATCTATATACTACAGGACTGGAAAGATGTCCAGTATTTGATAAGGAGGACCGGAAAAGAATTTCTTATGAACCGGATAAAGAAATTTGACAAAGTCCACGTCGAAGAGAACACAGTCAATCTAGCTTCACAGTTTTTGAAGCCGTATGACAAGGATATGGCGCACGCGACCAGCGCCGGATGTGGAACATTTTACATTTGGGTACATATTCGAGCATTTAACTTATCTTTATAATACTTTAATGATTTATAGTAGGTCTACACTCGCACTACGTCATTTACGAATAGTAAAACCGGAACAACACTTATTCTTTCCGAGATGAATTGAACTATATTGGTTTGACTTTTACTCAGCGTTTTAAATATCCGGTATCGATTTTGCATGAAGTCGCTCGTGTCAACAAACGTACAAACATTGAGTGATTCTACAGTTTAAGGATAAATTAATTAAAAAGAGAAGACTTGGAACAATTTTCGGTTGACGGGTAAAAATTAGGTAATAAAACAATATTTCTGTGAATGATACATGTGTAATATGCCGCGCCGATAACACGGACTACGAACATGCTACATCAGTAAATGAAAGTCTGGGCGACTATATTGTTGGTGGCCAAGTTAAAGCTAATAGTGATAATTCGCAAGAAAAGTAATTACTACGATTTGACTTAGACAAATTTAATTAATTTTATCCATCACAAATTATAAATTCACCTTGAATAATAATTATTTCATAAGATGCATACCCCCTCCCCTCCCCCCTTCAAACAATGCAAAATTATCTTTAGGCTAGAATAATAATTATTATATGTTGATTCACGCACAGCATACTTACTTTCTGTAGCAAAAGCATTCAGTTTGTGAGAATCAGTCAACCACGCCCATTTTCATTGTCACAGACAAGTGGTGTTTTAATGTTTTAGAGTATTATATGATAAATTTTTGAGACAATAAGTATTGGGTGTGTATTATCATTGTTTTAAATATGTACAACCTTGTTAATACAAGTTTACTCTCAAACTTTAACAGAACTATAGAAAAAAACTGGCTTTTGGAAGACTGAAATTATGGGGGTCCCTTTAGCGTAGAGCTCATACCACGAAAAGTAATGCGTCAACATATAATTTTTTTTAGCTTATTCTTTTTCTTAAATGTTATTTAGTAAAAAGAATGCAAATTTTTGAAGATTGAGTCCATAATTTTTTTCTTAAATGACCGAGATTGACCTGTGAAACACATTTTCTCATATTTCATTTTGATACGTTAGCCTAGCAAAGTGCAAATAATTATAATAATTCATGTAAAACAATGATTATATATTTACCAACAGGTTTCTACTCTATTTTGTGTATTAAAGTTGAATATTTAGAGTTTAATTCATTTAAATACAACAAAATGTAGGATAGGTAAATTTCAGTATTTTACATTTCGGGGTATGTACTCCGATAGGCAATAGCGGAAAGTGAACATGTTGACATATAATTTTTCTTGTGTCTATCCATTGCTGGGATGTATATCTAACTTATAAAAGCAGAATTTTTAAGATTGAGCCCATTTAGCGCCCAGTGTAGAACTACCTTAAGTTATCTTTAATTCAATTTGAATGTTAACCAACAACTCCGATTTCTTTTTAATAATTCCCACTTGATAAATTCTTACATTAATTTTTAAATTTACAAGGCCAGCAACTTTACGACATCTGACCATAGAGATTCTCGACATCAGGCTCCGAGGAGTTGTACCAGAAATCATTCGAACATGAATACATCCGCTATTAAAGGCGTTCCAGAAATCATTCGAACATAATACATCCATTATCAGGCCCAAACATGTAGATGTTGATGAAGGCGTAGTGAGTGATCACTGACGGTCAGAACAGTTCATTGAACAGAATGCTGACCGTCAGACGAAAATCAAAATCAAGAATCAGTCGTGATTTGCTCAAATTAATAATTAACTACTTATAAGGTATTGAAATAGAAATGAAGAAATATAGATAATCAAAATGCAGAAGTATTTATATTTTTTAAAGTAAGAAATAAAGATAATTACATTTTTCTTTGGTCTATTTGATACACTCATTGGTCAAGAGAAATGTTTAAAAATGTTTTTAATGTTCACTCTTATGTAAAGCTGTGATATGAAATGACAAAGACAACTCTTCAATAAAAAAAATTCTGTACAAATCAGGTTTAATAGCCTTTCTTGGTGAATTTTTGCAAAGATAAACTGAAAACTATGAGAATCATTAAAATATATATTTACATTTGTATATTGAGTATATTTTTTAAATTGCATAATGCGTTAAAAATAATTGGGTGAAGTTTCCTTGAATTGTAAAATTAAGACTTTTTAAAAATATTTAAATTACCAATTGCAGTAAAAATAGTGGGCGAGTTTTCTTGGAATTGTAAAATTAAGAAATTGACCTTAGTCTGTGGAATAAAACAGTATTGCAATTGACGCAAAGTTGTAAGTAAAGAAAAGTGGCAACATGATATGGTTTGTTGAATTCATAATCTCATCTTTCATCATATTTTCAATACATGATTGATTAGGTGTTGATCTATTACACTCATTGCTCGATCTATGTGTATTTAAAATCTAATGACAGTACATTGAGGGGGAGAAATGAAGAGACAGAGGCAATTAAACACAACACTGAATACCCAGAAATGCACCCTCAATACACGTCTTGAGTCATGAATATTTATTTAATAATAGTCCTTTTTCCTCTTGGTCATCATTCGGTACTTGTACTCTGTGCTTCAAACAAATATTACGTATATGGATGGTTGGAAACCGTCCCTTCTCCTGAAGTAAACATCACAGGCCAGGTGAGATTTTTTTCTCTCGTCAAAATTTATCTTTGATATTGGAAGGTTTTTGAAACTATAGTTAAAAAAAAATTCAGTGTCTAGATGGAGTCTTCTCAATATTTAAACCAATTCTTCTGTAAGACAACATTTTTTTCTCCACAAGTGGGTGGGCGGTAAAAACAAGAAATCTGATTATTCCTTCCAATACAAGCAAAGTTTTTTTCTTTAAAATTTTACAACTCTTTTTTTAAGTGTATCGGAAATCCATGTTTGCCCTTCTCAAATGTTGTATTGTTTAATGGACTTCTGAGCTCGAATACTTTTTGCTATCTCTATTTATTTTATTCTGTGAAGAATTAAGTGTATTAAGGATACAGCCACATGGGTTGTGGAGGATCAACGTCGACACAAACCGACTATTACAGGGAAAGTCAAGAGTCAAGATCAACGTCCACAAAAACCGACGATGACAGGGAGAGTCAAGAGAAACAAAAAGGAACGGAAAGGGTCAACAGCAAACCCCAGGAAGAGGAGGAGGAGGATTATATCAGAGAACCAGAGACCGACCCGGTAAATTATGAAGGATCAACGTCGACAATAAACGACGATGACAGGGAGAGTCAAGAGAAACCAAAAGATACGGCAAGGGTCGACAGCAAACCCAAGGAAGAGGAAGAGGAGGTGAAGGAGGCGGATTCTTTCAGAGAACCAGAGACCGACCCGGTAAATTATGAAGGATCAACGTCGACAATAAACGACGATGACAGGGAGAGTCAAGAGAAACCAAAAGATACGGAAAGGATCGACAGCAAACCCAAGGAAGAGGAGGAGGAGGAGGAGAAGGAGGAGGATTTTCTCAGAGAACCAGAGACCGACCCGGTAAATTATCAGAAACTTGTTTGTTTGCATAGCAACTGAAGCTACACCTATTATATAATAATTATCGTGTTTTAGTAGTAGTTGATGTTTCGGTCAATTTTAAATATGGTTTATTAATAAGAGGAGTGCATGCACATGAAATTACCGGGAAGTATGGATAAAAGGGAGTACTATTTTATCGAATGTCATCGGGATTTTAATACTCAAGTGTTTATTTTTTTACTCGATTTTTAATGCAAGATCCGGCTTGAAAAGTGCAAAACGTATTCAGAAGCCTGAATAATGATCGTTTCCCAACACGTATTGTGCTAGTTAATGTTTCGTTAAACACCACTTTTAATTCACCTCCAAGGAAAACGACTTTTTTATCTTGTGGAATGTAGAATATTTTTGTGAACAATCCAGAAAACGTTTTCATTAACTCTATATTCTGTTCTTCCTCGTCTCGCCTTTCATTTACATTTCTGTACATTTTACAGGTAGATGATGACAGGGAGAATCAAGAGAAACCAGAAAGAGAGGAAAGGGTAATAAGAGGAGTGCATGACACTCGAAATTACCAAGAGAAACCAAAAGGAGAGGAAAGGGTCGACAGCAAACCTCAGGAAGAAGAGGAGGAGGAAGAGGATCTCAAAGAACCAGAGACCGACTGGGTAAATTATTAGAAACTTGTATATGTTTGCATAGCAACTTAATCTACATCAATTATTTAATTAATATCGTGTTTTTAGACCTAAAAGTTGATCTTTCAGTCACTTTTTGGGTTATTCAAAAGAAGAGTGTATGCATATGAAAGTACCGGGTGCTATGGATTCAAATTTTTTTATACCTGAGCCGAAGGCTCAAGCGTTTATTTTTTTACTCAATTTTGACCAAACTTATGCAAGATTTCGTTTGAAAAGTGCAAAACGTATTCAGAAGCCTGAAGAATTGGGGTAGTGCAAATTCTCAATTGTTCAAATCATTTCTTAGAAAGGGCGGGGCCACAATGGGGAATCAAACTTTTATATAGAAATATATAGGAAAAATCTTTAAAAATTTCTTCTCAAGAACCACTGAGCCAAAAAGTTGAAACTTAAAAAGTATATTTACAAAGTTTTACATCGAAATATATAGGAAAAATCTTTGAAAATCGTCTTCTCAAGAACCACTGAGCCAGAAAAGTTGAAACTTATGTAGAAGCACCCTGGGGTAGTGCAGATTCTCAATTGTTCAAATCATGACCCCCGGGGGATGGGTGGGGCCTCAATGGGGAATCAAAGTTTTACATCGAAATATATAGGAAAAAACTTTGAAAATCTGAACCAAGAAAAGCTGAAACTTATGAAAAGCATCCTGGGGTAATATTTTTAAAAAAATGACCCCCGGGGCTAGGGCGGGGCACAATGGGGAATCAAAGTTTTACATAGAAATATATAGGAAAAATCTTCTTCTCAAGAACCACTGGGCCAGAAAAGCTGAAACTTATGTGGAAGCACCCTGTGTTTCAGAAATTGTTTAAATCATGATCTTTCATGGGGAATCAAAGTTTTACATAGAAATATTAGGAAAAATCTTTGTAAATCTTTTCTCAAGAACACTGGGTCAGATTGAAACTTAGTGGAAGCACCTGGGGTAGGTAGAACTAAATTGTTCAAATCAGGATCCCCTTGGGTAGGGCGGGGCCACAATGGGGAATCCAACACAATTACTTTGTGAATGCATTACATTACGAAATCATTAAAATTACAATTACCATTTCTCATTTAGAAAAGTAATTAATTAAATTACAATTACTTTGTTAAAGTAATTAATTACATTACATATTACATTTTATAAGAGGAAAACACAAAACGTATCACCACATAATTTATACCTATAAATTAACTTTCAACTGTAAATATTTTTGGATTTTGGATTCAGTATTATGGTCAGACGTTTACCAATGGAAAGCGGATCAGTTTCAATGTTGTAGATTTGTTCAATATCTGATGTTAGCTTCTCTGTTGTTTTTGTTTTTTAAATAAATGATTTATTGAAAATTTCTTCTAGATGTTTTATGTAAACTAATATCTAATTAACAGATAATGCTATAAATGTATAAGGAGTATTAAAAACTTAATGAATAAATAAGCACACTTCTAATTAGCTTAACAGGTATAATCATTAAATTAAACACAACCAAAGGTGAACAAGTACTTGGATGTGGGTTCAAAAATGATGGTCAATATTTCAGTTCATCTATTATTTAATAAATATTTGTATCTTAATTTAACTGTAAGTTTTTTTTAACCAAATAGTTGATTTTACAATTATCTTAATTGTCACTTTTATTAAAAGAATTATTTTGTTTGTTATTACCATTTAACATGTTAATAATATAGTATGGGATTTGTAAGACTCTAACATTATTAATTAAAAAATAACCTCTCAGTGATATTTATTTGTTTCAGATTCAAAAATGTAATTTTTTATCGAATGGTCATTAATGGATTTATTTTTTAATTGTTTATTTTTTTTACACAATTTTTAATGAATGCATTGCAAGATATTACGGCATTAAAGGAGTGCAAAACATACCCAAAAGCCTCCTCAAGATGATCACGTAATGTGCAAGTTTGCTTCTTAAAACAACATATATAAGAAAAATCTTTTAAAATCTTCTTCTAAAAAACCACTAAACCATCATGTTTAAATCTTTTTTGGTAGGGTTCACAATATGTATTACAAGGGGGAAATATCTTGTGAATGTAGAATTTTTTAATTCTTTATTTTTTTACTCAATTTTTAATGCAAGATACGGCATAAAAGTGCAAAACATACTCAGAAGCCTCAAGAATGATCTTTTTCCTAACATGTAATGTGCTAGTTAATGCTTTTTAAAACAACACTTTTAATTCACCTCCAAGGAAAATGACTTTTTCTATAGAATGTAGAACATTTTCGTGAACAAAAAAGAAAATGTTTTCATTAACACTATATTCTGTTTTTCCTCGCCTTTCATCTACATTTCTGTACATTTTAAAGGTAGACTTAGAGGACATTATAGTGGGTTACCCTCCACCAAGGCCAAGTCCTAACAGAAAGGAACATATATTTACAGAACAGGATAAAAATACTGCAGATGCAAGGGCAGATCAGGTAGTTTTGATCTTTAAACAATAAAATTAATAAAATTAATTTCCTAAGAAAATTGTCAAGTTTTAAGAAAATATTTTTAAAATTATAATTTAATGAATAACTGCCAAACTTTTCATCGAAATCAATAGATAAAAGGTTAGTTCCAGGTGTTTTTGTTCTGTAATGGGGAACATGGATATTTAATTCGTTTTCCAAAAACACTTTAAGTGTATCTTGCATTTGTACAGTGGTGTGTATGAAAACTCTTTCTGTTTAGATAAAGGTAGAGGATTATCAGACCCTTGAGGACGTAGCACGTGCTCTGACGGAAGGATTAAAAAATGACGTGCAAAAAGTGCGGGCAATTTTCATCTGGATTGGTTTACAGGGGTCAAGTGGCAACAAATCTACACAAAGTCAAGATGCCACTTCAGCGCAGACCATTGTGCAAAAAGTTATTCAAAGAAAGCTATCGTTCAATTTCTTATTCATTAGCCTTTGTAGGTGAGTTGTAAGAGAACAAAAGAAAATTGAAAAATTGAACATGTATATACAGCATTATGCCAATGAACTTAATTTGATGGTATAACTTTCAATTTCTTAGGGCTGCAAAAATCCCATGCGTACTTATTCGGGGACTTTCGAAGGGTCAAAACTACGAGGTAGGTGACAGAAATGTTGACAATTTGAACAGCTCATGGACAGCTGTGTATGTAGCCAGAGGATGGCACTTCGTGTTTCCGAGTTGGGCTTTCTCAGCAGTGGTTGGTCACTCTAAGGGAACATGGACGCTAGTAGAAACACAAGGTATAAAATTGATTTTAAAATGTATAAATGTGATTATTTGTACATTACACTGAATTTCCCTACAAATGTTTTTATTTTATCGATAGTTTTTTTTAAAAAGAAATCCATTATATAGTCTATTTATTGTGTTTAATTGAATGGTTTAGGGAAAGGTGCAAGAGAAAAAGAAGAAAAATCATCAGGTTTAACGATCCGCCATAAAGACGACTATTACTTCCTTACGGATGCAGAAGAGTTCATCTATAGATGCTTCCCCAATGACTCAAAATGGCAGCTTCTTACTCGTCCATTCACTAAAAAGAAATTCATAGAAATCGCATATTGCAGACCAGACTATTTCAAGAATCACTATAAAATTACAACCCCGACTAAATGTATCTATACATCGGTTGGCGGTGTATGCGATATCGGGATAAAGAAATTAGACAAGGAGGAATGTTCATACAAATATATGCTGTACTTTAACCACGAAGAATCAAAGACAACTCTTTCTTCTGAAATACAGCTAGAGCGATACGTAGCCATATTCAACGAAGGGCATGCTATGAGATTTCGAATTCGGTTTCCCAGTGAAGGCATATATAAGATGGAGATCTATGGTGACGGCTCCTGGCTATGTGAATTCAGACTTGAATGTGACGAGGATGTTAATGATGTGAAACCTTTCCCCTGTAATCCAGAGTCTGGGTTTGGTCCAAACTCTCTTACAAAAGAAGCTGGTCTCCAAGCACAGTCTCATACAACTGGCTTCATCAATACAAAAAAAACTAAGAATGTCAATATGAAATTCAAGATGATTAAGAATGTGCTAGTCCAAGCAATCCTGATACACAATAATATGGAAAAAGAAACCTTGAATAAACATGTTAACCATAGGATCAAAGGTCAAGAGCTGGACATTAATGTGGATTTGCCTAAAAAAGGAGAATATGCTCTCCAGATTAACACAAAGGATAAAGATTCAGATGGTCCATTCAAGAATGTCTGTAATTATCTTCTGACCTCGGAGAACATGAACAAGCAACGGAAGCTTGACGAGGTACGTGATTCTCCTTTAATTCTTAATATAGTTTGAAGAATATTGTATGATCATTTTCAAGCCATTGTTCTCTTTTACAGAATGCGATCGAAAAAAGAACTAGGAAAGCATTGCAAGATAAAACCTCTTCTTATAATATAAATGCTCTCAAAAAAGCGCTTGATGACTTCGATAAGATTGATCTGGAAGACAAAGGAGATCGCAAAAAGGCAGTAGAGAGATTGACATATCTAAGCCTGCGTAAAGGTATACAAATACCAAAATTACAGAATTATTTGATATGAGCTACTGTAATGGTTTAGTAGGTAAGGGGCTAGACGGGGAAGTAAATACATGTACATTTGGCAGATACTACTAGAATTCAAAATGATTTAAAATAGTGCTAGTATAAAAAAAATCAATCTATGATATTTCGGAAATATTTTCAATTTTAAAAGCAAAAGCGTATATGTGCATGTTTTATATCACCAGAACTGAAAGATGCAATGGCAAGAAGGCATGGTGAGAAGCTAGAAGAAGCAATAGGAAATGCGAAATCGTCCAAGTACGAATCTGATCTTCAGGAACTGATTGAGCAAGCAGAGGATTTGTTATCACAGCTTCGGAGGCACAAGAGTCTTGCTCACGAGGTTCTAACAATGCAACAGCTAACTATATCTGAAATTCACAATTATAAACACCCTAAACCTATGGCTTATGACGTCATGAAAGCAACATACATCCTTCTAGGGGAGGAGGAAAGGCGTGTCGAGGTTAATACAAATGTCATTTATACATATATCATATACTAGTAGTGTACCAGCCTTGATACAGGCGTTTTAAACTTGGCGAGACAGCACCTGGGAAGTGGAACTGTCTCGCCCTCAGGGCTGAAATCTCTGAAACTTTATATATCGAAATCTTTAACCAGAATCTTTAAAAATAATTTATTAATACTATAATTTTGAAAAATTTTAAAGTTTTTAAAAAAGTGCGCCAAATGAAAGCATTTGAAACGTAAGAGAGGTAACTCTTGTTTACTTCTAGGACACAACAAATCATGTTTTGAAAAAAAAAAAATTGACGTTTATTTGCTTTGAAAGTAAGGCAATACCGGTAACAAGTTTTCATGTAAATTAATGTGTCACCTTTAATTTAATATACCGATATATCGTAAACAAAACAGACAGTTACCATAAATCTGAGACTTACAAGTTGTAACGGTTCGTAAGAGTTGTAACCTTGGTTCGATACAGAAAGAAGTGAAAGAAGAATATTTTAATTTTGGGACCTTTTAAATCTTAATTATCTAATTTGCTTCAAAATGAAATGTTTCAAAATACCAGGACTATTCTTTTTTATGACTAAATCAGGCAAATCTTACTCTATATATGATTATTCACTGTCAAGCAACATCTTCGGGAACATTGAAAAAAAAGATAACTATTATTACGACAAAATTATATAAACATTTTAATAAAAAATATCAAATGTTTATTCTTTTCTTTGGTTTTAGATATATGATAAAAACAAAATCACACCACTGTTTTGATCTCATTACTGGAACATGCGCTCGGATGGTCTCGTCCCGCGCTCCTCGGGCATATAACACCCGCTCGGGCTGATACCAGGGCCGAGATCAAACCAGCAGTGTGATATTCTATGTTTATTTACTCAGATCCTATTCATGTTAATGTATTTTTTTTATCCTAAGTTATACATGAATTGGTTATTAGGAGTGGGAACAGATACAAGCGTTGATGCGCAAGACAGGAAAAGAAGGACTTTTAAGGCGCGTGCATCTGTTCGACACTGTCAACGTGACTGAGAACATGGTTAATCAGGCCTCTCAAATACTCCAACCGTATGACGAGGAGAGGATACAAGCTTTCAGTGCAGGCCTAGGAACGTTCTACAAATGGGTAACGAAGACTTTTTCGCATTCTTTGTCTTTATCGATGTATAATGATCTCGTTCATCTGTTTTGGCAATTAATTAAAAAAAATACTATCACTTTTAGATTTTTTTTCAATGATTTCAGGTCACAGGTGTTATTGAAGAAGTTAGAAAATCCGAGAATTCTCCGAGAGATTGAGAGGTTCAGGAAACCAAAACAATAATATATTCATTAGCAAAGTCATTTACACTGTACACTACATTATGCTAAAAAGTGTATAGAAAAGCTTCGCAAGGCACATATACTTTGATCTTAAATAGCATGGAATGTACGTTGTACTAGTATTCTCTTTACCTAACAATTAGGATTAAATGAAAATATAGGAGGAGATAGTTTATTGAAAGTTATTTCGTTTTAAGAGTGATATATAGAATGCTAGTTTATGACAACTGACAGGTCCATAAGGAATGCTTACTCCTCCTTTGCACCTGAATCTACCTTTTTTATGGAACGCCAAATTAACATATATTCAAATATCTGTACCTATCTTTAAATAATTGTACCTATCTTCAATTGAATTGTACCTATCTTCAATTGAATTGTACCTATCTTCAAATGAATTGCACCTATCTGAAAATCAATTATACCTATCTTCAAATGAATTAGAGATAGGTACAATTCAATTAAACTTATCTTTAATTCATTTGAAGATAGGTACAATTGATTTGAAGATAGGTACAAATGCAATGAATTGAAGATAGGTATAATTGATTTAAAGATAGGTACAATTGAATTGAATCTTTAATTACTAAGACATTGGCAATATCAACTACTCCCTTTATCATACGTCATTTCCGATACGTCTCAGCTTTAAATCGGCATCTTCATATGGCTGCAATACAAGATATACCTACATGATATACATGTGTATTTTTATAAGTATATGATGCCCTTTTGGCATTTTGAATTAACCTTTATTTCTCCTTTCATCCTTGTTGTCGTCGCTCTGTAGGTTCTGTGTGTTTCCTTCCATACTCCATATTGTCTCCAAGGGAGCGTTTATTATTTACCAACAACATAAAACGAATTGTACCTATCTTCAAATCATTTGTGGATATGTCTTAATTAAACCTATCTTCAAATCAATTAAACCTTTCTTCAAATCAATTGTACCTATCTTTAAATCAATTATACCTATCTTCAAATGAATAAGAGATAGGTATAATTCAATTGAATCTATCTTTAATTGAATTAAAGATAGGTATAATTCCATTAAAGATAGGGATAATTCATTTGTACCTAGGTATAATTATTTAAAGATACGTATAATTATTTATACCTATCTTCAATTGAATTGTACCTATCTTTAATTGAATTGCTCCTATCTTTAATTCAATTGTACCTATCTTCAATTCATTTGAAGATAGGTACAAATATTTGAATATATGTTAATTTGGCGCTCCATTCTTTTTTGTATTTAAATGAGATTATATGTTTTTCCCATTTGAATTTATATTGTTCACATTTTGTATGATTTACAGAATTTATGTGATCACTATTCGTTATCAACATCTTTTGTTGAAAAAAAAAATTATAATGAAAATTTTAAGAATAAAAAGTTTTTTTTTTAGAATTCATAAATATTCTTTCGGGATTCTTTTGTCTCATAATTTCAAATGTCTAATGTTAGAAAAACTGAAAGGTGTTTCAATGAATATTAGTTTTGTGCTTAAAAAGATTCAGAAAAGTATTGCATACTTGAACCATTTATCATAATCAAGATACACGTAGCTTTGATGAAATGATGAAGTCCTGATCGTTTGTATATTTATTATACTTATCAATTCATGGTCACTAAATTATATTGTATTTAGTACTGTTACTTTTTTATTCGAAAATAAATGATAAAAACCAATGCAGTTAGATTATTTATTGAATGCACTTTTCATTTTGCTTCCAAAAATATTTAATTACACACGTACTAAAAATGTTAGCAGATACTAGAAGAAAATGTTCTACACTGAGCCCAACACAAAAACTAATGTGGGTCGACGGCGTGGCTCATTTCTTACATGAAGGACGTTTATTCTAGAGTAGCGGGGTAAGAAGTAGATCCTTTAATCCAATTGGACATGGAAAGCAGTCCTTTGGAATGGAGCGTATAGACTGGGGTCTCGTGTCCCGCAAGTAAGTGCTGGCACGAAATACATGTAGATCCCTCACAGAAAGGTTCTACGTGCCGAATATAGTTCTAAGATTTGAACTGGCAAATGATGGCTTCTCAGTAAGTGTGAAAAGTGCCGGAGAGGGACGTTAAAAAATAAATAAAAAACTAAAATACTATCAGACCATTTAGAAAGACGAATAATTTACTACTGGCATCAGTGAACATGAATTTTAAACATTTTTATTTGAGATAAATTGATTTATTGTTAGTAATAAAAAAATCTGTTAATCAATGCCTTCATGAATGTAACGTATAAAATTTGTTTCGATATTGTATTCCTGAATCCTGGGTATTCCCTGTTTAAAGGATCAGTTTTTGCTCAAGTTGCAATTTTAATGGTTAATAGACATAATAACTAAAAACCTTATTCAAAATATATCTTCAAATTTTATCAGTCGAGAATTTCAATCTAACTAAAATATAACTCCGTGGTAAGTAAAACAAAAGTGAGAAAGAAATAATCCAAGAAGCATTGTAGAATGCTGAGATCATATGAGCCATCAGTAACTCTGTGTTTAATCATTATTTAAATATACATGTACATGTACCTTTGTTTATGTGTTGACATCTTCCACTCAGTACGCAATCAACAAATCTGAAGTTTAAATTCAATAAATGATTACTGGAGAGGAAACATTACAAGACAGGCATACAAAATACCACCAGAATGCACATTTAAATAATACTCCTTAATCATTCATTCAATATTATCCCTCATACTTGTTTATATCAATTCCATGTTTTGAGTTATCTGATTCAAGCACTGGTTGAATGTGGTATTCGCTGGACTTCCGTCTTTCATGAGTTCTATCGGCACAAGACTGGAAAACTTGAAACAGATACTTCGGCAATAAAAACTAGAGGTAAGGAAATTTGATGGCACCTGATCACATCTCTAATGTTTTTGGAGGTATGTGTTTGCTCTGCTCAAATTTTGTATTGTTTAATGGACTTACGAGCTTGAATACTGCTCGTTAATTCCACATGTTTCATCTTAAATGAAAATGTTCTGCATGTCAAGGCATATGTAGAAACTCCTTTTCTGGATAGTTAGACCATTTTCATTTAAAGTAAACAAGAACCAAATGATAAGGAAGTGAATGATGAAAATAAGAAAAATTTTATCAGTTCCTGACAAGTAAATAATCCCCCTTCCTTTCATTTAGTTTTGAAAATTCGGTACTTGGAAAACTTGATTCTTAAAATAACGATTTACTCAAATGAATGATTTAGCCATATGGGTTCCGGGGGATCAAAATCAACAAAAACCAACGATGACCATGGCGATCATCCTGATGTCAAACGAGAGGAGAGTCCCGAGGAGCCTAAAAAAGATGAAGATGATGAACTAAACAAAGAAGAGGAGGAGGATTATTTAAGAGAACCAGCAACTATTTCGGTATTATCCTTTATCAACTTGTACAGTGAAACCTGTTTAATCCATGGACTGGGGGACGAATTTTGTGTCGGAATAGACGGGTGTCGAGAACACGGATCATGGAAAATAGTAAAATGGGAAAGAAATTTAACGCCTAAATTCAATGTGTTATTGATTGCACATGGATGAGACAGTTTTCACTGTATGTTTTTGCAAAAGTTATGCAATTAATAATACTAAGTATTATCTATCTTTATCAATTAAGGAATAATATATAATTAAACCAAGTTGTCAATGATTTTATCATTCTTACTAGTGTTTTATCTTTCAAAATTATCTGTATCATATGTATGCATTCAAGCAGTCAAAGCAAAACAAAGCATATGTATCAGAAATGATCAAGAATACAATGACTACATGTATTTATGCTCACCATTTGTGAAATGTTGTCCGAAATTTGCATAATAGTCAAATGTTTCAAGGACCTTTCTCTTAACCTCACGAATAAATCAACAACAACAAAATCTCGATTATTTTACACTTACAGAAATGTATTAATTAATGTACTCATGTTCTCTAACCCCATTTTTATGTTTTCTAGGATGTTTCTAGGATGATTTAGAGGACATTATACCTGGATACCCTCCACCAATGACGAGCCCCAAGAAGAAAAAAATATATATTTACAGAACAAGATAAAAATTCTGCAGATGATAGAACCAAACAGGTAACAATGTATTACACATAAATAAAACAACAGACAACGTTTGACTGATGGACTATGGCGAACGACGTGAAGGAGTTAAATATGCTAAATTACTAGTAGTCAAAAGGGTAGTTGGCTGTGTTAAATCCTACTTTACTAAAATAATATAAGATTATTTTAACCCATTTATAACTGATACTGCATGTTTTATTCAATTTTCAAAGGCAATTTAAAGGTTCTGGGGGGTAATTTGCATATTTTAGATAAAAATACTATAGAACATTGCACACTCTGCATTTTTCATAAATATAGTAAGCCAATTTTAAAGTTCAAAATGTGAAAAGGTCATCAATTCACCTGACAAATGCATTGTAGAAATTATATTTATTATTATATAACGTTTTTCTTGTTTTAATTTCAAAATGAAGAGTAAAGCATTGTAATATTATAATAATAGCATTTGAATTAATTCTTTATAGGCATGTATTCATAATTTTCATATACATGTAGGTGTTTATAGTTAAGATATAAAATATCTTATTTTAGATTAAAGTTGAAGATTATCAAACCATGGATGATTTAGCGCATGCTTTGAATCATGGACTAACAAACAAAGTGCAAAAGGTGCATGCAGTCTTCACCTGGATCGGTTTAAACGGGTCAAAGAGAATGAAACCGAAAAATGACATCAGAAACCAAGATGCCATTTCGCCCCAAATTATTTTACAACAAATTGCACAAAGAAGGCTCTCATACAATTTCTTATTTATAAGCCTTTGCAGGTGAGTTTAATCAGAGCACATAATTTGAAAGAGAAATCTTAAGACATACATGTGAATGAAATTGAAGGTTTGAATTAATAAACTTTGATCTCCAAGGGCAGCTAAAATCCCATGCATACGTATACGAGGACTTGGGAAGAGTATATCCTACGAGGTAGGGGACAGAGATGTTGACTATCTGAACAACTCATGGATAGCAGTGTATGCAGCCGGAGGGTGCCGCTTTGTGTTTCCACTTTGGGCTTTCTCAGCAGTGGTTGGTCACTCTAAGGGTACATGGACAATGGTAGAAACACAAGGTACGAAATATAATTGAAGATGAACTGACAAACCTAATCACACGTTACATCAATAATTAGTTAATTACATTATCAATGGATTTATTATTTAGGTGAAGGTACCAGAGAGAAAGAAGAACAGTCCGTGGGCCAAACAATCAGCTCAATTGATGATTATTATTTCCTGACGGATGCAGAAAAAATTATTTACAATAGTTATCCTTTTAGAC